TAAGCAAAATAAGACATAATAAAAAACTTTTTTTCATTATAAATTATTCCGCAACAAAGCAGTGCAAGTTATACAAAATTCAAAAGTTTATTTTTTAACACTTTTTATAAAGAAAATAGAAGTTTTGCATGACTCAGCATGATATTGAACAGCAAGAATTTGCCTATATAATTTATAGCATTTAATAAAAAATATCGCAATGAAATAAACATGAATATTTCGGATAATATCCCCATATTTCAAAATTATTATGAAAAATTTAAGAAAACACAATGTTATTTTTCGTTAAAAAGCATTGAAAAAATATTTTCAAAACAGATTTCTCACAATTTTTCAAAAATAACTTTATTTTTTTAAAAACTCAAAATAGACTTTTTGCTACACATATTGTAATGAATCTCTACAAAAATGAAAAATTAACGATTAATATACAAGCATATATGGCAACGTCACTTTTAAAAAGTAACGAGTAAAAGTAAAAGTATTTTTAAAAAAAGTAACGAGTAAAAAGTAAAAAGTTCTTATTTTGAAACATAACGAGTAGAAAGTACAAGTAAAAGTACAAGTACTAAACAAAAAAAGTAACGATTTAAAAGTACATTTCTAGGAAATCGAAAATTCAAAGTAGCCTAAGATTTTATTGAATAATATTCTTATGTTCTTTAATGTTTTTGCAAAATTGATGCTATTTATTTAATTATTTTTAATTTTGAAAGTTATGGACATTAATTTATTTTTAAATTCGGAAGAATATTATTATATAATTTTATAATATAATCGTATAATATAATTTTAAAATCAAGTATAGTTTTAATATCTAACTTTTTATGGATTTGCATGAAAAAGAAATTTTATCAATTGATTTTAATTTTCAGTTTATTATTTTTATTTATTTAAATTACCATTGATTTAAAACTGTTTTACTCTATAGAAACGCGTTTTATAAGCACAGACATAAACAAAGCAAACACGAGGTTTCAGATAGCTTTGTGATCTTTGAGCTAGTAAAAAATAATTGAATGTGCAGTATAAGTTGAAACAGAACAGTCTACAGTTTTATTTGTAACAATGGCTAATGCTGAAGTCATGCGAGAAAATCATTTTCCGAACATTTCTGCCTAACGGAATAATTAAAATTTGTAAACGAATTTTAGTATCAGAGGCTAAATTAATACCTTAGAGTTTTCAAGAGTTAAAATAGTAATTATAATAGTTTTCAATAGCACAAATAGTTCTGAAGTTCTTAGAGATTTGACTGGGCGTTCTTTGACAAGGTCGGGCATAAGCATAATTTTAGTAAAAAATTTACTAGGTAAAAATGTATTTAGTAAAAAATGTATGAAGACAAAAATATATTATTAGTGAGTTCAAAAAGAAAATTGATTAGCGTAATAACAAAACCCAAATTTTTTTTTATTTAAAATGTATTAAATAAAGGCATAAAACTCGAAAATGAATGAAAATAACTTGCTAATTAATATTTTTATTCATTTTGCAAAATAATTGCATTTCGAAAGTGGTGTCACTGAGTCTGCTGCGAGAATTTCTCAGAACGTGCTTAGCTACGCTGAATAAGCTCTCCATGGGAGGTCAAGGTATTTAAGCACGAAGTTAGCTGTGAATACATATATATTGCACATTAATTTTGTAAATTAAAAAATCATAAGCATTTTTTTAAATTTAATTTTTTTTCTTTCTTTTTTTAGAAAGCTTACCGAATTTTAGAAAAAAGTAACGATTTCATTCGACATTTCCGTTACAAATACTTGTACTGTTTCCCTAAAAAAGTAACGAAAGTACAAGTAAAAGTACTAAATTTAAAAAGTAACGAAGTACAAGTAAAAGTACGTACTTTTTACTTGTACCGGCGATACAAGTAACGGAAGTAAAAGTACTGCCATATATGGTTAAGACATAGATCATAGAGTGTTAATTTATAATTATTTCGGATCTGAATAACCAGAGAATCATAACATAACTTATCCTTTCATTTCACTGGGNAACGAAAGTAAAAGTACTGCCATGTATGTATACAAGTGCATGCAAAACTACAAATAGTAATAACTTCATGAGAAAAAATACGAATAAGATAGGAATTACTAATAACTATAATTTCCTGTGAGAATCTATTGTTCATTATTTATCTATTAATTATTTATCTGTTGATCAAAGAAAATAGGATTGAAGAGTTATCTTACCTTATTTTTAAAAACAACGGCCTAAAGTTTTCAATGAAGATATAATTAAACAAGCTTATTGAACAGCAGGAATTTGCCCGTTCAATTAATAGCATTAAATAAAAAATATTGCAACTAAAATATGCATGAATATTTTGAATAATATCTCTATATTTCAAAAATATTATGAAAAAATTACGAAAACGCTATATTAGTTTTTATATGAAAAAAGCATTGAAAAAAAAAACTTTCAAAACAGATTTCTCAAAATAATGTTATTCTATTTTTTTAAAACATAAAATACACTTTTTGATAAACATATTGAAATGAAATTCTAGTAGAGGAAAAACTGCAAAACTGAAAAATTAATGATTTATATTGAAGAGCATGCAAAACTAGGAACAGTAATAATTTTATGGGAAAAAATACGAATAAGATAGGAATTATTAATAACAATAATTTCCCGCGAGATTCTATTGTTCATTATGTTGTTACTTTTTACTCTTGATTCTGTTTCTCCTTAATGAATTTTTCCTGTAAATTCATTGTTGGCATTGTTTTCATGGATGTAAACAGAAAATATTTTCTTTGTTATATTTTTCTAACGAACTATTGTATGTTATTTTTTTTTCTCTAAAAATAAATGGAATCCATTAAGTCGTTGCTCCGTTTTTGCTTACAAACTGATATTGTGTAGGGAAAAATTGCTAAATTATTTGTACTTGAGCTTGTAGTTTTTTCTATTATGTGTCTTCAAAGTATTGTTTGCTCATTTTTACGAACGATTCTCGGTAAACTAAAACTGTTCTCTCGGGTGATTTATTTCTCTCTAAGATATATTTAAAAAAACTTACTAAAATACACAAAGTTTGAAAAAAAAAAGACAATTTTAAATATTAGAGTACAGATGATTTAAAAATGAAAAGTATTTTCTTTGCAAATATTATTATGAAAAATATTATTATAAATATTTCGTACCGTAGTTTTTAGATACTGAAAATTTAAAAAATTATCGCACGAATTAAACTATATGTGTTCTTTTAATTCTATAATTTAGAAAAATGTTCCTGATCAGCAATTTACTAACAGTTGCAATTTTATTACATCAGTAAAAATATTGTTGTGATATTGTATTAAATGATTAATTCATTTGTTAAATTAGTTTTTTCTGAAACTTAAACTTACACATTTTTTTCTCGTTATTTACTCTATGAAGTTTGTTTATAGTTCGGAACTTGATTTAGTAACAACACAAAAGTATTATTTTAAAATTAATAAAATGTTTTATAAGTATTTTGATAATAAGTTTAAGTTTTAACAAAACAAGGTTTAGTCTTTCACTTCGGAAATTAATTATGCTCATTATTTGAGTTTTGCTATCAACCGTAAAATTAATAATGTATTTTGTAAGCATTTTGATATTCATTGAAAAGTTTGCATTGCAATAGTTGTAAAATGGCGAAAAATTTCAAAAGAATTTGAAAAGAATTTTGAAATTTCATTAAGTTCTAGTTTTCTCTCTCCTTGGAAACATGCACACGTTTTGCATACATAATGTCAAATACATATAATATTAACGCTTTATGGTAACGAGAGAAATTTGAATTTTTAGTTTATTAAAGCTCACTCTTTCATAGCAAAATTATCCTGGTTATTATTTGAATTTCAGTATGAACCATAAAATTAATAAATATTTTGTAAATATTTTTGAAAATCTATTTTTTCCATTCCTTGGAAACGTAAGCGCGTTTTTCATTCGTAATGTCAAAAGAATATAAAATTAACGATAAATTTACAATAATCCGCAATTTTCTTTCCGTTGGAGACAAGGAAATTTTAAATTTATAGTTAATCACAGCTAAATGTAATCTTTCACATTGGAAAATAATTCTGGTCATTATTTGAATTTTATTATGAACCGTTAAAATAATAAAGTATATTGTAAGCATTTCTGATATTTCCTTAAAGTCTATTTTTCCATTCCATAATTCACTAATTCATACACAACTAACATCGGTATGTAATTTGAGAATAGATCTTTATAAGAATATAAATTTGTCACGCAAGAATTTTTGCGTGAAAAATTTGTCAAATAAGTTTATTTTTTTTTTATATCTCAGAGCTAGGAATGTTTCTATGTAATTTTTATTTTTTTATTTATTAGAAATTGGAAACTTGAAACTAAAAATTCGGTAACCTTTGAAATTTGCTTTCAATATTGTTAAAAAAAGTATGTGGTATGCTAATATATATATATTTTTTATGTATTGTATACTACATTGGAATTTTTTTTTCCATTTATACAAATACTTGTTCTGCTAATTTGGGTGCTGGGATTTCAAATCCAAAATTAGTTTTTCCTTAAACTAAAGATTTTTTTTAAAAAAAAATGACGTTTATAGTGTAATTTTATTGAAATGTTCAGAACTGTTCAGAAGCACACGAAGAAACAGTTCATAATCGGCAAACGCCTCTAGCGGCATATGACGAAATTACCGGGTATGGGTTCTCATGTAATTTTAATTCTGATGATTTGCTCTAACTCCCTTAGAAGTTTATGGCAGCATTTATGTGACCCTCTGTTACATATAACGTTTTCAAGCTTGTACATTTCGACAAATAATAAACTAATAAAAATGTTATTAAAAAAAACAGCTGTAGATTGGTGAAAGAAACCGATTGCATATTTGAAATCAGAGACACGAAACTATCTGTTAAATAAAATCTCATGCAGAAAAAAAAGAAAAAAAAAAGAAAAAAGAAACGAAAAACTTGTTCGTTATTGTTATTTATTGATACAATCTGTTTTACAATTATTTTCAGTGTTTGAGCCCGGAGCTGAGAATGAAGAAGAGTTTAAGAAAATTCACGAGGCCTACAAAAATTTGGTAAAATATGTAATATGATAGTTGTAACTTTTGTTGTATTTATTATTTTTGTACGAAAAATGTTTTTAATTTTTTTTCTTCTAAAAACTGTACATGTTAATTATTTTATATTTTATAACCATCGCTGAATAACCGACCCAATTTTTGGGTTCGCGACTACTAATGTTCAACTCAGTAGCCTTGTAAATTTGAACCGAATCCAGAAGACAAGGGAACTCCTGGATCAAGTATTGGGAGAAATTTGCCTTCTTGGAGGGCTTTTTGATGGAACTAACCCGCATTTGAATTACATGGAAAGGAAGACAACGAGAGCCTCCCACGGATAGCCTGACACCAGAGGGACTCTAACCCACGATCCGTCTGCCACTGAGGGTATTTCACGTAAGCACTGCGAAAATAAGCGAACCACAAACCACCCCCTCCATTAGGTGCTTACGTAATATTTGAACGACCTCTAATTTATTCCTTTTCCATAAACTTTTGATTATATCTGGGATGCTTTTAATCGTACGAAATTGTATTTATCAATCCTACAATTTGAAAAGTTATTTACTTGTTTATCAAGGAACACTGTTCTAGCTTATATTTTATCAATTCTAAAATCATGTTACTTACGAGTTCTGAGTACATTCTAAAACGTAAACGTTTTCTTTACCTTTAATTTATGATACAAAAGCTAAATATTAAGCGAAGCGAATAAATATAAGAGAAGTTAAATATTATAAAATCATTTATGAGAACATAAATATCTTTATTATTAAAAATACACAGGATTTTCATAACTATATACACGTGTAGTTTGTGAAATCAATCCGGCAAGAAAATTGAATACCTTTGGTAAATAATTGAGTATGATCTTGAAACTCGCACTTCACGTACTGAGGTTGATAACTAAGCCTAGCTAGGCTTAGCTATAACTAGCTAGGCTTAGCTAGACTTACCAACGAAGCCTAACTAGGCTTCTTTGGCTGCCATCATAGATCGAAAAGTAAAAATGTTTATATCTTCAGAAATGATGTTCATAATTAAGTAAATTTAATAATTATGAGTGGATGGAGTCTTCTGTCATCGATTATATCACTACTTCTAAGACAAATAAAATCATAATTTACTTCTCTTACAAAAATTTACGGAAAATTCAAAAACGGCAACAACACGTCCTCTGGCCTGTTGCTAGCCGTGAATGGAGTAATTGAATCTAACTATGTGTAAGCCTTATTAATTATTGGTGTTTAGATTTAACTACACCATTTAAAGCGTGTATGACCGTTGTATTCTGTATCACATTGAAATAAAGCACAATTTTTTCGAGTTTTTCAGCATCAAATTTGGATAGGTATTTTTTATAGTGTAAGAGATAAATAAGTAAACGAAATTATACCTTTGCGCAGAGATGCCAACTTGCTCCGGAAAGCTAATAAATATTATCGAGTGGTAGTTTATGAATTGTGATTCTTTGTTTAATAAATTAAATTTTTATCTACCACTGTCTCTAAATAATTCGTAGGCTTATATATTCACCACTTTATCACAGTAAATCATGTTAAACCTGTTAAAAAGTAAGCAAAATTAGTCAAATATTTGCAAATTTTAATCTGTAGTTATTTACCGTTTTTAAAATTATTATGGCGTGTCCGGAGCAGTAGGCATCTCTGCTTTGTGTAGCAAAAGTTTAAATTTTTAAACTGTTTCTAGGTGGATTTTATGCTGGGAAGTTACATGGAAGATCTTCGAATAACACCAGAAGAGTTCGAGAAGTCATGTTCTGTTGCAACCAAAAGAGCGATGAACCAGTTCCATCAGGTTATTGGAATATCATAGATATTCTGACGCTTATCGTCACTAAATTTAGAATTACAGCAATAACTTAAATAGAATTCTAGAAAATGAGGAGATAAAATCTTGAATGTAAATTTCTTTTGCAAATAAGGTTGCAGTGAATTCACAAATAAACAGCTTTGATAAATCTCCTGAAAATCATGGGTGCTCACTGAGACAAATGTTTAACCCCTTGCATCCGAAGCGTCATGAAAAGACATTTACAAGCAAACTACGGCAAGTGTCGTTTCGTGACGGTCTTGTTTTTTTGGGGTAGGGAGAGNCTCTATCGGAATCAGAGGGTTAAATAACAGTTTAGGGTTCGTCCTATAGTTTTCAACGTGGCTCTTTAGCAATGTCTTATTAGGTTTACTGTTCGAGTTTTATAACAGGGTCCTTGAAAAAAGCTCAAATAAACTTCATTTTTGGTATAAATTAATTAAATATGTTACTTTACTAAGATTGAGTCGAACATCTCTCTCAGAAATTTTTGTATTTTATTTTAGTCTGTAATTAAATTTCCTAATAATTATAAATATCGATAAAAAAAAACTTGGAATAAATTTTATTGAGTTTCAAATTTTTATTGGTATTTTTGAAATTATATACTTAAAATAACATATAATAATAATAATAATAACAACAGGAGCTGATCTCGAGCAATAGCATTATGCTAAATGATACTGAATACAACTAATCTTTATTTTGGATATTGATGAATACAACTAATCTTTATTTTGGAGATTGATGAACTTCTAAAACCATGTTTTGCTTAATCTGATAACAAAAAGTTAAGGTAGGGCACCAAATTAAAAAAAAAAAGAAAACTACTTCATTGTATCGGTATTTGTCTTTTAGTTTTATGCAAGATTTCATGGTGTTGATTATTACTGATTTATAATCATTTTTTTTTCATCCTTACCAAGAACGGGTATCCAGCAAATAATAATAATAATAATAATATTAATAATTTCATTAAGTTTGTGAAATAAATGTTTAATTTAAGCTATTTCATCAATTACTTACACTTCAGTTTAAAAATAGTCAAATATGAATTTGGAAAACAAAACCTTTGAAATTTTTTTTTTAAAACTAAGATTTTGTTTAAATCGATTATAAATTGTTCGATAATGTGAAGAAAAAAAAATGGAAATCCTCGAAATCTTATTATACACTAACTAGTCAAAACCTTCTTCACTTTTTGTAATAAAATGTTATTAGGGCGAGTTTTTTCTGAAAAAGAAATAACAAGAAATATTCAGTCCGCCATTCACCAAATTAGATGGGTCTCGTTTTTTCTCGCGAAAAACGAGAACCTTTGAGGGTGCCGAGAGTAATGGAGTAACTAAAAGACATCATTCGGATTGAAATCGAAGTCATGACTCCTGAGAATTCGAGTGGAGTAATGGAAAATGCCTTCAAAAGAGTCGTCAGTTACTATTGAGAGTGTAGAGGCTATTTGTGTGATGCGATTTTTCATAACTAGTTATAAAAAAGTCTCCATAAAATATCTTTTATGAAAGAAAAAGAAATTATGCTTTTATATATACATTTCTTCTTGGAATAAAGTATGGAATATTTAGTTATGTGGCCTTTTTAATCATATCTAGATACGCACATTTTGCAAGTGTAGATAGATTATTTTGATTAATTAAATAAATATTGCAGATATATTTGAAAAAAAAAAACATATGCAGTTTTAATAATTAAACAAAAATTTTCACTCTTTAAAAACTGATAAATTGAAGAACATTAGAGACTTGATATTGTATTAGAAATTTTTTTCTTGCAGATGCCGTACATTTAATCTCAATAATAAGACGATAAATACAACTTTGTTTTTGACTAGCAAAGTAAATTAAAGTGCGAAACTAAACTAAAGTAAGCCAGGAAGAAGTTTTACACAGCAGTGGAATCATAATATCCCATTTCATAACTAGTTATATAGATGCCCTTTTTCTATAAAATATCTCCATAAATATAATAATAAAAAATATAAAAAGTCTCCATTGAATATCTTTTATGAAAGGAAAAGATATTAAGTTCTTATATATATTTTCTTTTACAATCAAGTATAGAATTTTCAGTTTCGTGGGATTTTTAGGCATGTTTAGCAGCGTCTATATTTCAAGTGTAGATGAAATTGATACTTTGAATATTTAAATTAAATATTGTAGGTATATTTAAATAAATGAATTTAGTATAACGTTCTGAAAATTAAAAAAAAAATATTATTTTAATAAGTGTTAAATCGAAATGTTTTTTTTCTTTTTAAAAGAACATTAGAGACTTAATATTGAATAATTTTTTCCCCTCAAATGCCATTCCCCCCCTCAAATGCGCCAAATGCTCTTTGTTTTTTGCTTGTAAAGTAAAATAAAGCGCAATGTATGTTAAAAAGTAGCTTTACATAGCAGTAGAATCAGGATACCCCATCCTACCCTGAATTTTCACAACTAGTTATATAGATGCCATTTTTCATAACTAGTTATGGTAATAGTTTACTATCGGTGGCATCTCTAATACTACTTAGCGATTTGAAAATAAACCAGCATATATGACAATAAACCAAGAACCAATCACATAACGGTAAATAAAAGTTGCGGTAACCTGAACGTCATATCAGTGAGAGCAAAGAATATCATGGTAACCAGAAACAAGGTCTCATCAGTTATCGCCAAAATTATCGCCAAATTATTGGACCCCTGATTCTTTATTTTAACATGAAGGAAAATAAAAAAAACCACAATTTAAGTGCCTTTAACTTGAAGAAAAGTATAATTTTAAACTATATATGCCATCTTGCCGTAAAGAATTATCTAGGACTTAGAACGGACAAATAACTTAAATATTTTAAAAGTTATTTTACTTTTTTATAAACCTCCAATTTAGAGACATTTTCCCCACCGAGATGAAAATTATCAAGATTACTGCGTTATTTTCAGTTTTTGAAAATTGTTATGAGACGTGATAATGCAGCATTGGAGTAAGTTTTTAAATATTAAAAAATTAGACCATAAGCATTTTATATTTTCACAAAATTGTGGCTTTTCTCTAGATTGAAGTTTTATGCCATTTTCAGAATAAACATAGAGGGCACTGGCTAAAGATAGGCTAAACTTGACCTAACAGTAATGAGTAACTGTTGCCAACTTAGATCAGTTATGAAGATAACATATTATTCGTAAAACTGAATCATTTCATGCAGTAAAATTTAGTTTTGGGGGAGTTATAGGCATTATAGTTAGGCACGCATTTTTATTAACGACCATTTGACTGGTGTAGATAAATTACTTTGATTAATCAAATTAATATTGTTGGTTTGACTAAATAAATGTAGCATAAAATTTTGAAATTTAAAAAGATCTTTTATTATTTTAATAAATGTTAAACAGTAATTGGGTATAATATAAAAAAGGCACAACTACTTCCACTTACTAGGAATAACATTTACCTTTTAGTTTAATTAATAAACTGAGTTTTAAATATGCTTACTAAATTCATAAACTTCGGTAAAACAACAATATAAATTATTTCCAAAGGAACTAGACTAATACAATTCCAACCTGGCGAGTAGCGACTTATAACAAGACACTTCGTTTGATGCTTTTACTTGTTGCTAGAAATCAGGTTCGCAGAAAATGCTGTTTACTAGTTAAATTTAGTAGGAATAACACGATCTGTGACGTAGGGTATAGTATACCCAATTGTTTAAGAAAACACTCAAGTCTCGATATAGAGATGTCTAAGCTGACGTCACTTCACTTATCTGTCAATTGGAAATACATCAATGATCAATCACTTAAAAATGCTACAAATAGGAATTCATTTCTATTGTGCTATGAATACGAATCGTTCAACAAGAATAGTGCAAATGGAAATTGATTGATTGATTGAATGATAGGGGAACACCGATCTAGTTCAGCCTCTGATTTGGGCAACTCTATTGTACAAGAATTTTCTTCTATTTAGCAGTAATAATATGATATTCTTTTGAGTTTGACCTTTAAAGTAAATTCTAGCACAATCTTTATAAGAAAAAGTTTATAAAGCAGTAGAATCAAAATACGCTATCTGATCCCAATTTTGCTTATTTTTAACTCTTAACTTATTTAATAAACGCGAATTATTTCAGAGTTTGTTTCAACAAGTATGGGCTGCAGACGATTTTGAAATTTTCAAACGAATGATGACTCAAAAGAATTTAGAGTTACAGTTACAGGCTCTAGAGTTTTTGACTCAAAAGAGAGGATCTATACCTAACTGTATGGAACCAACACCACAAATGAAGGAAGATGAATCACAGATTGAAGAAGTCATAAAGTAAGCTTCTTTATTTATCTAATACGCAGCTTATATTTGGAGAGTCTCTATTTGGGGGGTTTGTAAACCAGATGTTTACTTATTTGAATTAAATTCTCAGTGAAGTTATAACGTTTTGTAAGAATATTTGCACTGAATATTTACATTATATTTGCATTATATTAAGAATATTTGCATTAACATTTTGGTGAATCAAATCGGAATAATATAGCACATGAATGTAGCGTAACAGTTTATATTGCGTGAGCTTCTCTTTGTGTGTTGACAAAGTCACAGTTCAAGTGTATGTCAATACATTTTAGAACTAATGAAGGGAAGATTTTCGCATCAAATTCTGAGCCAAAATTTTGCAAGAAACGAGTAATGGCGTGAAAGAAACTAAAAACAAAATATTTTTAATAATACTAATAAAAAACATTATCACAAAATTTTTGTATCTATTATATTTTGCGTGTATTTTTTGGCTTCATTTTAAATTGTAACTTCAAAAGACAGTATATTGAAATATTTGAGAGCATTCTGGACTCCTGAATTTCAAGCAGACAAGTGCTATTATTTTGAAAAAGAAAAAAAAAAACTCAATTATTTTAATAATTTTTTTTTATTTTTTAAAAAAAAAACTCGAAAAAATGGCTAATTTACTGAGCTCAATGCGCATGGTCAGTTAACATCCCGATTCGAACCCGGATCACCTCAATCGAAGAGATCGCTCTGACCCTTGAGCCACAGCGGCTCTAGTTAATTGAAGAAGAATCTTTAACTGTCTTTTTTCTTAAAAGTCTTACTTATTGAAATCATATTTAACTGTAAAAACGTATAAAACTGTATTGGTCCACCTTTATAAATATGTCTGACAATTTAACTTACAGAAAAATACATATATAAACAGATAATAATCAAGTAGAGCATCCATTCGACAATGAAGTAGAATCTCAATTTTATTTTTACAGTGTTAAAATAATAATAAGAATACGGTAAGCGAAACTGCATGACAAAAAACTAGAATTTGAATCGATAGTTTTGATCCGTGATTATCATTATTCCGTTTATGATTACAGAGAAAGACTGCTTCGTGAAATACAGCTTTAAATCGTCAAAAATACGGAAAAAGTCTGTAAAAAAAAAAAAAAAAAAAAAAAANAAAAAAAAAAAAAAAAAAAAAAAAGAGAGGCTGGACGCGCATGAGGTAACGTATAAAAAAAAATGCACAGATATATATCTTTAAACAATTTTTTTTCTGTAAAAAATATGTTTTTTTTGTGCAGAATTTACGGTTATTTATTACAGTGCAATCGTTTTTTAGAATTTGTATTTACGTTATACACATTCATTACGTTTTACAAATTTAGTTACGTTTTATACATTCTTTTTTGTCAAAAAACTAAACTTTGTTTCAAGATTATAGCAATTAGAGCTTAGGTATTTTATACGTTTTGGTAAAATACTGTGTTAGGGCAGCTTTTTAAAAATATGTAAATTCGTTAACATTCTGATATTTTTAGAATAACACTGCGAGGTACTTTTCAGTATTGCACTGGTCACATGTCTCATATCAGGTACCTTTCCCTAGAAACTTCAACTTTTCTTTTAATAATAACTGTTAAGCTTTTTTTCTAAGTTGCTCTTTTCTAGATGAAAGACATACGATATTTATTATGCCTTTGTCTTAACTTTACCTGCTTTCATCTATTTCTCCAGAAAGGCCATAAATGAAGCCCAGGATGGAGATGAAACAATGCGGAAGAATGACATGGCTCCAGCAGATATCGCTTTACACGAGAAGATGAAAACTGAAGCAAAAAAGGAAAAAGAACTTCTCGAACAGGTAGGTATCTTTAGATATATATTCATGACGTCAAGATGCTTGCGATCTTTAAATGTAACTAGGAATAAGCAACTTTTGGAGTAACAATTCCGGAATAACAGCCCTCCATTGGAACTATTTAGTTAATTTTACTATTAATTAGTTCTGAAATTGATTGAACTCGATAAGGTTTTGTCAGATAATGACAATGCCCTTTAACTTTATACTTTTTTAACTCCTAACTTGTAGGTTCTAGTAACTTCAGCTTTGTCAAGATGTAAAAAAAAGTGATTGAGGAACGATTCTGTATATGATTGCAGCTTGGGTAAAAATTATGATCACGTTTCCAGTCTTCAGAAAATATTGTGGCGAAAAAATCCAGGCTCTTATTGGGGTAACGGAGACAGTTTGTAGGCTTTTGATAAAATAATTAGACCTCTTATATGCTTAATTCGGCAACATCAAGTATTTTTGTGGAAAATGGTTTAGCTGTTGAACTAAGCTTTGAGTGTTGATTAAAACTACTACCTAACAGCAAAAATATCAATTAACAGTATCAATAATATTATATAATTTCAAAAATGATTACTTCTTTTGACTTAATATGTTTAATATTGTTTAAGGGATATTAAATATGCTATCAGGGACAGAGAAGAAATGAGTGATTGTCATGTTTTTAGTCAAATGAGATTTGAATAAGTATTGTACATGAAAAAACGACAACAAATTTTTCCTTGGATTGCAGGTAGTTTTTATGCTTATAATAAAAAATTAGAGCAGCTTTTGCGCTAGATACCGCAGCATCAAATATCATTTAGAAAATAGTTAAGTTGCTGAATTTTTGAATTAAGATTTGCATATTGATTAAAACTACACTCTAACAGCAAGGAAATACCCACAAATAGTTTTTATTATATCAATTCAAAACTGGTACTCCTTTCGATTAAACATGTTTGATATTTTATAAAGGCTATCAAGCACGCTGTCAGGGACAAAGAAGAAACGAATGATTCTCATTCTCCAACTGAAGACAAAGCAGTGGAGCCATCTCCGCAAGTATCTCCAGTCGAAACGGAAGATGGCGCTACTATCGAGGAAAAATTCGAAGCAGTTTCTGTTGTAGAGAATTCTCCTGTGGAGCAAGAACCAGTAGAACAGACCATCGAATCTTCCAGTGACGCAACTGATGAAATTGTAGGAAATAGGGACGAAGGAATAGCACATGCCGCAAAAGATGATTCTCTGGCAGGAGATGTAAAAGTATCTACTAATGAGCTTCCACCTTTGAAGCTTCCCAATGAAAGGCCTTGGTCAGAGGGAGATTCGAACCCATACGTGCAGCCTCAGGTACACATTATTCTTTTAAATGAAGTGTTCTCTAAATACCACCTTTACTGTATGTTTTCATACCACCTAATTCAAAATTAATAAATTATCTCAGTTGAATTTTATAATTGTCAGAATTTAATTGATTTTAAATTTATTAGCGTCAATTATTGCGCAATCTTTCGTGATTACTTGAACCTACGTAATTTATTGGTGACGCTATTTGCTTTTGACAGTCAAATGAACTGGTTCTAATGCTTTTTATTTTAATTTTATGATGATTCACCAGATTTTGATAACGCTTTTAATTTGCTTCGCTGAAATATCGATTTTTTCAATTATATTTATAATTGGGATATTTTATGAGGGGGGGGGGGGACCGNGGGTAACCGAACCAGTCGTAAATATTTATTGCTTAAACATAGCTTATGAAATAATTTATTAATATTCAAGGTTATTTTTTAAAAAAAAGCTAAGAGGTTCCGCTCTCTTCTCACTGCTTGCTCAAAAAAAGGAGTTATTTAATTTGCTACACTATTTTTGCTACACTCGCATTTTATTCGCTATTTATAATAATTGGATACCTGTAAATGACGTCATGGTTGGTAAATCGGGATATTTGTCGATTCAGAAGTCTATCAGATTCGACACACACTCGTGACGTTACTTAAAGGTTTTCAATTAAACCTGATTTAAATCACATGGTTAGACTTAATCATTTCACTTCTTCGTGAGTTGCAAGTACTCAATTCAAGCAATTCAATTTTTCAATTTTTGACTGACTTTTACACGAGTGCGAGCTTATGAAGAAATAAAGATCTCGTAATCTTCCACCAATAAATTTTCCACTACAATAGATAAATTGGCCAAGTGGCCGTGCGGTTACCACCGTGCCTGACTGTGACGCATGTGGTTGCTGGTTCGAATCCTGCTCAAGTTCATTGCCTGTCATTAGTAGAAAAACTACAAGGGTTAAATAGTGGAGCCGTGATGCTTCAGGGAATAGAATGTTTCTTGTTTTACATTGGCGCCATCCATGACCAAGAATACGACTTCAGTCAAACACACATTACAGCCCTTTTATAGGGGGCACTCATTCATACATTCATTCATTTATCCACAGATCGTAATTTTGACCTGAACCATAGAATGATCAGTCTCCAATTCAGTACCCCCAGAGATATGTTGTGGGAACATGGAGGACTTTGTGACCAGACAGATTTAACGTGCACCAGTCACACGGGAAGTCTTCGGCCGGCGAGGATCAAACTCACGACCCCTTGGACGTGGGCTCAAAGCACTACCAACAAGGCTATTCTCGCCCTTTTATTTTTAATTACTACGAGTGCAGCAATACTTGGGAAAACACGCATTTCAAAATAGTGAAGCTTCATTTGCGCCCCTAAACACTCAGGCTATACAAAGCAATTTACGAAATAAAACATAGAAACTACATACAAATTAAAATTTTATGTTTTTATGTCATTCTTTGATGTTTAGACAAAATGTCTTCAATGACTAGTCAGTTGCTTAGAACCGTATATTCACCGCAGGTGGCCAGCCAACCCGCGAAGCGGGGCTTAGGACCGTAGGAATAATCTTGGCACTAGAGGAGAAAATCAAAGAATTTTAATCCAACTCATCTCAGTAGTCAGCAAAATATACCCCGAAACAACGCCGAGTTAACCTTAGTAACCGGTTTTAATCTTATAAAATCTGAAAACAATGAACACTCTTTAAATAGTTTTATTAAAATCAATTAAAAAAATTATTTTTGACATTTCTGAACATTACAAAATTAAAAACATGTTCTCTTACTAATATGTTATTAGTAGGAAAGAAGGAGATCATTAACAAGAGAATATTCTGCAGCATTTTTGGGAAAATTTCTTCTCCCAAAAACCAGTGTAGCAGATTCCTTATCAGAGTTTTTATTCTTATACATTTTGCAAGCATAAATACTCATCGAATCGTTGTGAAATACTAATTAGAAATAATTTTTCTTAGGTAGAGATTACACCACTGGAACTGGAGAAGCGGCAAAATTATTTGCGCCAACAGAGAGACAGAATCCTCGCCATGAAGAAACAAGAACGCGCCAGAAGACTCTCCAATGCCGATGAAGTTATTACTCAAACAAGACCAAAATCTGCTCGCGCTGCAAGGCAAATTTTGAAAGAAGAAACAACAGAAGTGGATCCCCAAACATTAGCCTTTAGGAAAAGTTTAGCAGCTAAACTCAGAAGCGAAGTAATTGGTAAGCATTTTGTCGGAAATAATCACATTTTCATATTTCATAATTAGTCGTAACTATAGTTTGAAGTATTTGGCATTGCTTAATTTAATTATTTGACTCTGCCATAGGCCTGAAGTAATTTCTGATTCGATTTTAACAAATTATGGATTCAAATTTTATTTTGCTGCTTACTTTTAGAATTTCGGAGTGTAGCTTTAATTTTTTACTCAGAAGATGGTGGTAATTAACATAGTTTAATGGTATAAGTGCTGGAAATGAAAAAAAGTTTTAAAATACATTTGCGGAGATGCAACTAATTAATTCGTTAAAATGCATAGTAGCATTTTAAACATTATTTATTCAGGAAGTTTCATAATTATCACTCTTCATTAGTTTTTTAGAGACATTGTCAAGAACGAAATAAAAATTTACTGATTGGAGATCGAAAAATAATAATTAACCCTTTGCGGGCGCATGTCTTGCCCAGCTACCAAACGCTAGGTTCCAGTCGTATGTCTGCTCTCAGTAACCAAACTTTTTTAGCGTTCTATAGGGGAGAGTGGGGTCAATTGTAAAATTTTTTACTTTACTATTTTTAACTAACAAAAAATCCAATATATTATTAGTATTAATTGACAGACGAATAAAGTAGACTATCCTCTACTAGAAAAAAAAATAAATACCTGATTTTAAATATTATTATATTAGTTATTAACAATTTTTGACAGTCGTGCAGTTGTTACAATTGTCCCCACTTACGGGGTCAATTGTAACAGTTCATAAATTCAACTAAAACATAGTTAATTATATATATTATCATAGTTGTGATATATTTTTTTATTGATCAAAATAGTAGTGATATTTTCGGAGTAAAAATAATAATGAGCAGAGACCTAAAGGGTTAAACTTTTAACTTTAAGGGGTTAAAAA